GGCGGCGGCATTGTGCGCGCACCAGCAGCCCGGCCCGGGAGGAGCAGGACGCGCCGGGGCCGCCTCCTCCCGCACGGACCCATGAACCAGCCGGGCGGCGCGGCGGCTCCGCAGGTACGGCGGGGGGCCGGGGGCATGCACCGCGCGGGGGACCCCGGGGGGCCGGGGCCCGGGGCGCTGCGCCACTTCATTGCAAGATTTGCAAAATGCAAAGTGCCTGGGCTCGTTTGCGGGCTTTTTGTGGGCGCAAACGGAAGGGTCGGGGTCCGGAGAGCACCCCCACGGGCGCTGCGGGGTGTGAGGAGGGTGGGGGTGGCGAAGGGGTCTTTGGGGGCCCCCACCCAGCGCCCCCTCCAGCCCCGGGCTCGGACCGGAGCCCAGAAAACAAAGCGGCGAGAGAACAGAGCAGCCATTTCAGTTTGGACAATTCACATTTTGCAAAAATGCAACCCCTTCCAGCTCTCCCCCCTCCCCCCCAAATTTGCAATTTCCCCCTGACCCTGTCTGCGCTCAGGGTCCCCGATGACCCCCTGGGAGGTCTTTCCCTCCAGGCCCCCCATTTTTGCAACAGTCTTTTTTTTTTTAGGCCATATTTCCCTTTCTCAATTTTTTTTTTCTAATTTTTCTTCAAACGGTAGTTTTTTCCCATTAAAACGACGCCACCTAGAGGATACTATTTTGTAAATAAAAAAAGAAATTAAAATTGAAAAGAAATATTTTTTATTTCTTATTTTTTCAAAAGTTTGCACTACATGGCAGTGGAGGGGTTAGAGAATCTTTTTTTTTCTTTTTTCGGGTGAAAATTTTCACTTTGATCTTTCCAGAAGCATGGAGACAATTTTTATTTCTGAAGCCAAATCCAGATAATATGTAAATGAAAATTAAGCTGGATTTTGAATGAATTCAGTTCTTGAAGGGGAGAAAGCAAAAAACCTCCTAAAAGCAAAGTCAGTTTGGCTACCTAACTCATTTTAGTTAGAGAAAAAAACTAATTGGAATGAGGAAAGGAGGGAAATTGTGGAGTTTAGGGAAAACTGGGAGAATTGGCTTTATGAAGCAATTAGAAATTGTACTTCATTGTAATTTGGAACTTGTTTAGCTCAGCGGGCAAAAAAAGACTAATTTCACTATTTGGCAATATTTAAAGTTTTTCTATTTCCAAGAAGGAAGGATTTAAAAGAGAAAATAGACCTTAAAATGTTGGCTTTGGACACACCCAAAAATTGTAGTTTTTTTTTTTTAATTTTGCATTTACATTTTACTGCATTTAAATCCTAAGATTTCAAAGAAAACAGAAACTGGAAAAGTTAGAGTGAAATACTATCTTTATTTTTTCTGCATTTGTTGGGTTTTGTGTGGGTTTTTTTTTTTTTTGTTTTGATGGAATAATTAAGACTGTTTTCTGATTTTGTTTCCTGAAAGGTCTAGTCATTTCTTTTTTGTTGTTGTTTTACCTAGAAAATGTCAGGAACCTTTTTTGAGCAGTATTGAGTGGAAAAAATGTAAATTCATATATTATACAAATTGAGTAGCCCACAGATTTGTAGGAGAGACCGCCATTAAAATAAGATATGCATAATTAACATTATTATGAAAAAACTAACAGTGGATTCACAGAAGCTCATTTTTTATGACATGCAACTGAATCAATTGATGAAGACAAGGATTGAGGAATCCTTGATAAGGAAAATTTTCCCTTCTCTGTCTTCTTCTCTCTTCCAATTTGAAAATTTTATTATTTTTTAAAAAAATCCAGATTGGTTTCAGGCCTCTTTGATTGTGATGTGGGGTTGGTAGTTTATTAACATTTGGTATTTTTTAAAAATTTGATTATTTTTCAAAGGGGGAAAATCCATTACTCTTGATCATTTTGGGGGGGTTGTGACCAAAAGAAAAAAATGCACAAATTTTACTGACTTAACAAGAAAGAAAGATAAAAGAGAGAAGAGCAGAGAGAAGATGAAAATTCTGATTCTTTATCCATTTTCCTTGATGGAACAGTTACTTTGCTGAAGAAATGGGGTAAAATACCAACTCAGCTGATTCTAACAGTAAAATTTATTTTCCTTAAAGGAAAAAAAAATTAAAATACAAACAAAAGCCAAACCCAAAGGTACTTGCCTTTGGAATATGAAAGCATATGTACAAACAGTATTTCATGTGGAGTTTTTGGCCTGAAAATGAATCAAATGAAGGTGAAACAAAAAAGAAAAAAAATTTTTAAGAAAACAAATATTCACTGAATTGAAATTTGATAGATGAAAGAAAATAAGGTACCCACTCAAAGATGAAGGGTTATTTGTGATAAATTAGTATCTGATTGAACTTGCTGGGGATTTTAAGCCAAAAAAAATAAAGTTCTAATTTTTTTGTCCAGAAGGAATATATTGCTAGCATTTGCAGGGTGGGATCTCGGCGGGACCTTGGGTGGGGAGCTAATGGTGGGTCACTGAGGGCGAGAACCCGAAACTGTGTACCCCTTTCACCAGTCACTGGCTGGTCTTGGAAGAACTGGTGGCCCAGTCCATGGATTCCCAACCCTGTCTTGTGGAAATTTGGATTTCTAAGGGGATATTAATTCTGTGAAATATATTTGACAGTGGCAGAGGTTTGACATTTCCCATCATCGCCATTGCATTTGGGAGATTTTATTTTTTTAGTAACGAAATCCTTCAGGGCTGACTGGCCACATTCTGACATATTTGGAATGAGTTTTTTTTTTTTTTTTTTTTAAGTAGCATAATTAAAAAATTTTTTTTCTGTTGAATTATTTAGGCCGATGCCTAGGACGGTCAAGGAATTTATAATTTCCAAGGGGCTCTGGAGGCCTCATGAGGCAGAAGGCCTGAGTTTAGCAGTGCTGAAGGAGGGCTGGGCTGGACGGATGGGTAGGGTGGGTGGGGGTAGGGGAATCTGAGAAAAAGTCAGGGTTGTAGATAACAGGTTATTTCTGGTGCAAGGAATAAAAATATTGCAGCATGTCCCTTTGTGTGGCCTGGATCTCCTGACACACAACTGAGATTCCTTCATTCTATTCTGCTGAAATTTTGTTCTGTTGTCTATGGTTTAAAGGGAGCCCATGGCTAGAAGTTGAAAATCATTTCTGTTTTTATAGACCTGTTATTTTCTTTTCTAAAAATATTAGTGATTCTGATCATGTTTGTTGTAAAGGAAGTAGAGGTGCATGATGGTTTTGTTGGGGGCGGGGCCAGTTTTCTTTTGTTTCTATTGGTGTCTGTCTCTGGATTGAGATCTGACCTGGGCCTTGTCTCTCTCACCTCCTATCGTAGGTGGACGTGTGACCAGAAATGGATATATGAGCTAATTTTTATGAGTCTGTGTCTGTTCACCACACTCTCTTAGAATATTGGGCAAAATATCTGGCAAATTGGACTTGAGGGGTGGTAATTTGATGATGGGCTGAGTTATTTTGGTGAAAGATCATTTATACTCAGTTTCACAGTGGAGACTCTTATTAATGTTTTGCTTTTCTGCCTAAGGAGGTTTGTTTTTTTTTTTTTTCTTTTTCTAATAAGGTTTGAAATTTCAAGGGCCTGCTTTATAGCTTGACTTTGGACTAAGCTAGGAAAAAGGGTTTGCTTATACTTTCAGCCCTGCACAGAGGTGAACTTGAACAAGGCCTCTTGCTTTTGCAGAAGGAAGGCAACAAAGATGGCTGGTCAGTGTAAGGCTGACCTCTCCCTTGTCTTAGAAAATAAACAGCCAATGGCTTATTTCATTTGAGAAATGGAGTGTTAAAACTCCTCCAGTGTCAGATACAATTTTTTCCCCACTTTTGACTCAGCTCTTGGCATGCTGCTTCCTCTGACCTCAGAATCCTTACGTCTTCTCCTGGGTGGGTGATAAGAACTTCCTTGCTATGTTTCACTGGATGTATATAAGCTGGCTTTTCGTAGTCTTGAAATTTTGAATTTTTGTCCGTGTTCTCGTCATGTTTCGTGTCACTTGTGGCTCCTGTCTGATGATGTGAAGTGAAGTGGCTCTGTGGGTTATCCAGGAGCCTGAGCTCCCAAGGTCTTGCTGTGTGACCTTGGGCAAATCACTTTTTCCGTCAGAGCCTGAGTTTTTGTGTTTGTGAACTGAGCGCTTTGAATTAGATCAAGGATAGTAATAAATGGATTTCATCTCTAATTCTAACTCCAAGGGATTGGTTGTAGCTGCTTGGATCACCATATTGAGAGGGATTCTGAGGCCACCTGCAGACTCCGATATTTCTGGAGAGAGAGGGGTGCAGTTGTCAAATAGCAGCGCACCTCTTAGTTACCATTCCTGGGCTAGACCTCGAATCACGGTCCATTTAATGGGTTGTGAAATCAGTTTAGTTAATCGTAATCAGCATTCAAAAAAGACTAGAATAGAATATAGGGAACAAAAATAGCAGAGGCATAGCACAGAGTACAGGTAAGTCTCGTCTCATGAAACTTCTGTTTTATTTATATGTATGTGTATGATATGAAATATAGTTCCTCCTGTGGGTCGCGATCAAAGTGTTTGAAAGGAACTGGACTGGATGAGCCACCATGATGTGCCGCAAGTATACTGCACTTTATTGCTTATACTTTATTTTCTCACTTACTATCTCGGTTAACTTTTAGGTGAACCCTGTGGGATAGGTATCCTGTGCCACATGTTTTGGGTCTTGGTTGAGCCCCTGTCAAGGGCCACCCATGAAGAAGTCTCAGCTGCATGTGTGGTCAGGCACGTACCCCAGTACCCCAGCTTGTTGGTTTTGGATGAGACTGGAAGGGCAGGTGGAAGGGCAGATGCAAGTTCAAAGGCAGCATCTTTGCTAGGTCCTCTTGCTGGAGAGGAGATATAAAGTAATGTGGGATCTATGTCTTGGTGGGAGGAATAGCTGTTTACCTTTACTCTGGACTTTTGCTTCAAATTGCCAGAGAAATTTTCCTGGAGTTAGAAAGTCCGTGTTTGTACTATATTTAAGTTTTAGTCAGGCTCTGTCTGTATTTTTGGATGTATGCATGTCTTAAAAACTCCAGAATTACTGTCCTAGTCTCCTCATCTTTTAAATGTGTCAGACCAACACTGTTCGATAGAAATATAATTCAAGCCCCAAATATGAGCCACGAGTATAA